CCACATCGGCGAAGAAAAAAAAAAAAAAAAAAAAACCCAACCCGAGCCGGCCCTCCCGACGGCCGCCCGCGCATAAAATAACCAACCCCAACCTCTCCATTTCTGTCCTCACCATCCCTACCACGTGCAAAGCTCAAAACAACTTCCCGCCACTGGACATTCAATATACACCATGTGCCGAAAAGCTACCTGCGATACATGCAGTAAGTGTCGTCGTTGCTGACGGGGCTTCTTTCCACTGTGCTGACGGGAGGTCCTCGTTAGAAAAGACCACCTGGTGGGGGTGCGGGAACCACGTGCCCGCGGTGATGGACGGCGTCCCCGCCGGGGAGAGGTGTACGTGTGAGCCTACGGTTGAGAGGGACGGCAAGGAGTACCCGCCGATGGCGAGGCGGGCTTCGTGACTGGTGAGGGGGATGGCGGCGGCGTGGTTGTGGACGAGGGGGAAGAGGCCGGCGTGGTCGGCGGAGGGGGTTGTGGAGGAGGATTTGGGCTGATTTCGTGGTCGGCGAGGGAGTTGAGGGGTGTTGTTGCGGGTGGTTGAGGAGCTTTCTTTTGGGGGGAGTGCTGGGGGCTGGTGTTTTGTAAGATCGGGAGCATGGCCTTGGTGACGCTTGATGGACTTGTGGATGTTGGTTGGTTGGTCGTGGTTTTGGGAGTCGGCTTGTGCGCGCCGACAGGTGCTGGGAGAATGAAGCGGCCTAGTGTCGTGTATGAGGGAGAATGGAATATCCTTGTATAATGCAACTGTCGTCATCGGTGCATCAAGGTGAATGCTTGGCATGGGATACGTGCGAAACTTTGGTTACACGGCGGTTGGATAGACAACCACCCTGATTCTGTGCCAGACTTGTAACAACCTGCTCCGGAAAACACGTAATCAAGGACGCATTCACAACCTGGATGCGCATATTCTCATTGACGGATAAGTATATGGTATTGGACACTGCGGCGGTTCCAAATGAAACGCAAGCTCTACCGGTAGAGTTGCTTGAATCATAACCACATGGTCCATGTCATCTCCTCCTGGCACCACCAGCGCCGCCGGTATCCCCCCTCTCCGCCAAGCTGACAACCTCCTGGATGCCCGCAGCCTCCTGCTCCTCCTCCAGGGCGGTAATTTCCTCCCTGCAATCCCACCACTTCTCCTCGCTGAGCTCAAACGCCTTGGCCTTGATCTCCTTTATGGTTAGCGTCTCGGGCTGAATATTCTTCCAGCGGAGACTGGTCATGAGGATTTCCTGCCACTCGGCGGTTGTGCGTACAAAGAAGTCGCGACGAGACTCAAATGGCTGCCATGCCTGGTCAGTAATACTGTGTCTAGATCGGGATCGGCGCAGGGGAACAATAATGAAATGCATGTGGAGCTCACTCTAGGGTGAGGTAGACCATCGTCCACGGATGTTGCGGTTGTTTCCGTATCGTCTTCTTCGAACGGAATAGATGTTGTTTCGGAGGCGGTATCCGACACGACATCTTGCTTTTTGCGCCTACTGGGAGTATGCAGCTGTTCAGGCTCGTCATCCTCGTCCTCATCCTCGTCCTCCTCTTCTTCTTCTTCGTCTTCCTCATCACCGTCGTCGTCCTCATCCTCAGATTCCTGCCCAGGGTCAGCAAATACATCAACTGACAATACCGCACGGTGACAACTCACAATCCAATCCGCTACCGGGCGGCTGAAAATCTCTTTGCATCCATCCAGTTTGCTCAAATCAATGGCATATAAATCATCAAACGTGAATTCGCGATCGCCCTTTTCGAATGTCCCGCCGTATATATAGAGAACGTCATCCTGCACAGCCATCTGCGCATTGAACCTAACATGGGGCGGCTCCATTGTAACCGGCATCTCTCTGGCTGGCTTCTCGTCCTCGTCTGGCTCCTCTTCCTTCTTGTCAATCTCGATTCCGTCAACGTCATCTAGTGAAGCACCCGTTTCGAGGGCAGCCAGCCGCTTCAGCAGCTCCTCTTCATTGGCCTGTGCGCGGCCACGACGGCCTACACGTGGCTGTTCGGGAGCAGCTCTCTTTTGCTGACGGGGTTTGCGGAGGCCCAGAGGCATGAACCTGTTGCGTTCAATGTTCCAGGCAAAAAGCTGGTTGAAGAACTCGCTATCCATGCCCTCTTCACTAGCTTCAACGTCGTGTACCCCGCCGAATAGGATGCCTCGTCCCTTGTGGAAAGTCATGGTGGCTCCCGCGCGAGACGGGTTGGGAGGGTTGGCCGGCTTCTTTCTTCGTTCCCACCGCACATTTGGAGGCGTGTTGGAGTTGGCATCAGCGGGAGGCAGCGCCATTCTCAAGAAGAAGCAGTCGTCGTGGACTTTGGGGATCAAGACATTCTTTTGTCCCTGGCTTTGAGATTTCCCCGCCTTCTTCTTCAGATTCACCGTCGCCTTTACACGCGAGTAACCACCGTAGAGCACGGCGCCGGAATCGCACGGCAGCAAAGAAAATGAAGATCGAGCATCCGGCTTGAGTTGTGCCTGCGGCAGTGTGGGACAGTGCCACACAAAGTTGACCGTGTCGAAAATCCACAAGTCTGCCAAATACTTGGTCTGGTTGGACGTGTCCTGAAAGCCGCCAAACAAAATGATGTACTGCTTCCAGTACGTCATCCGGTGACCGCTCCGCGCGGGCGGACTCTTATCCTTGCCTTTGACCTCGATCTTGGTCCACTCCCTCGTGGCGGGCTCCAGCCTCCAAAAGTCGGAGTAATGGTGGAAAGTGCCCTGCTTAGGCGACGAGAACTCGCCGCCAAAGAGGTAGACGTGGTTGGGATTCGAGGCGCGAGTCCATGCATGTCCCGAGCGAGGCAACGGGGCATTCGGTGAGGTGACGCAGCGCCACTCATCCCGATGGATGTTGTAGATGTGCAGGTCATTGTAGAACTGTGCCAGAGACCCGTTGAAGTATTCACCCCCAAACAAGAGTAGGTTGTTGGCATCCGTGGGCGATGCCATCAGTGTGGAAGCGGCCCTTGGTCGAGGCGGGCCATCACACACAGTTTCTGTGATCTTGAGGAATTGCTCCTGCTGGCGACGGTACTCTTCCAGGACAGCGTCAAGATCGACATCTTCGGCGTCACTGCCCTCAATCTTGGCAGCTTTGGTCTTGGCCTTTTTCTCTCCTTTGCTGGCTTGTTTGGCTGCCTTTTCAGCCTACGCATTTATGTAGGTGGTTAGTAAAATGGCATGGAAAAAAAAAAAACTTTTTTTTGTGCATTTCACGACCCTTCATGAGGGGCATGGAGGGGAGAGGGCAAGGACGGGCAAAGACGCGGGGCATGGTACCTTTTTGGCTTTTTTGGCGTCTGAATTCTTCTTTTTATCCTTCGCCATGAGGAAGGATTACGCAGCGCTTCAAAGGCGTCGCCTTGGGTATCACTGGATGGTGGTGAGCAGCATTCAACTTTTGAACCCGCTGCATTGCATTGGTCGACGTCGATGTGGATTGTGGTTCCTGGCTCAACTGCATCTTTTCGCACGGCGCACCTACGCCTTCGGTACGGGTCAGTAAGTCAGGTACCTCTGGTAGTAGCTACCCCTCTGTAGTACTTCAATGTTGTGGTGGTACCCAGAGGTACTCACACCACAGCCCTACCAAGACGTCGTTTCACTTATTCATCATTTTCGGCATCCCAAGTGTATACTATACCAAGGATTGTTTGGATAATCTTATCGTAATTTCGGCACGATTTGCCCTTTTGAATTACCTCACCTCGCCCAGTCGGCTTCCTACTACCTAAGTACCTGGCAGTTAGTTGCATTGCATCATCTCTCCAGGTCCCACCTAACGAGGTGAGGGGCCGCCCATCGCCCGTCTTGGCGGCGCAATACCTTGAACCGTCCTCTCCTTCGGAAAATAAGCAGACCTAATCCTTCGAGACAGAAGACGAGTGTAAGAGAAAAGTAGGTAGCATCGTTGAGAAAGTGAAGAAATTGAATCATGGCCGTTCTAAGAAGACCTCTTTGATCGGCTATTCTGAAATACATAGTCTTCGCCGTCATGGCCGTCATCACCACCAGATGGAATACCCCAAGTTTGGGCTTCCACATTCCCTTCTAGAAACACCTCACCCCAGCCATCACAGACAGCCTACAATCCTTTGACATGCTTTTTCCAGCGAGAACCGGCATCCATGTTGTCTCCAGACTCGGTGGCCAAGGACGCAGAATGGCGCTTCCTCTCTGGTGCCTGCCACAGAATAGATGCTGTACCCATGTCTCTCTGTGACGCAAACCGAAACACACATGTACATACTATGGACATAGTTCGTCCTTGGCTGATACTAAATACACCGTGCCAACACTAGGACAGTGCGTGCATCGAGGCGGCTTCTGGAAGGAGACGTGACGGCCGTGGGACCTGCAACCATGAAATGGTCGGCAAGAACATGGTCGTCAACCCGCAGGCCGCATACCGTTGGTACGCACCGGTAAAAACTGTCTGGTCTGGCTACGTGGGATACCGATTCTCTGACCGCATAGCCCTGAGGCGCTGGTGGTGCAGGACACGGCTGACTAGGGCTGATGACGACAATCTGGGGGCAACGTAGCTATGAGAAAGCCCGAGGCCTTGCAGAATGAGCTGAGATACGCCCCGGAGGACAGACGCTCGAGCCAAATTTTGCACCTATATGATGAACGCACCGCCTTAGCTGAGCCGATTATGAAGCCGGACGAGTGGAGGGATGAACAGCGAAGTCACGCTGCTAAGGTGTCGAGCCAAAATTGAGCCATGTAATATGCATCGCCATGAGTCGACAGATGACATGGGCCATGTACATGCACCCTTGAGCTAAGATGCGGGACCTTTTTTTTTGGTTTGGAGATGCTGCGCTCGGGCTATTATGCAGCCCATTGAACTTGCAAGGTTCGCCTGTCCAGCACGGCTCGCAACAGAACTTGTGCGCCGTCCGTTATCATTGGGAACTTCTGTTAGTATGAGTTGAACCTGGATGCGCTTTGTAGACACCTTCCCAAAGCATATAAGTCGAGCAGCGTCCCGCCTCAGATGCCGTTGGATGTTGAAGTGCGCAACAGTCGGGCGCTGCAGCTCCTCAGAAAATGATCTTCTCGACCGTTTTCAAGCTAAGCTTGGGCGCGTGCTCATTGCTTCCTTCCCTTGGGGTTGTCTCGGCTACCGTCAGACGGGATGACTTCCCGTCACTCCTCGACGCAACTCTAGATGAGCTTCGCCATGGTTTGGACGCGGGCCTCTTCACCAGTGTTGACCTTACAAAGGCCTACATAGCCAGAATCAATGAAGTCGCTGGTGAATTGCACGCCGTCAACGAGATTAACCCTGATGCATTGTCCATCGCCGCCCGCATGGACGCGGCGCGCAAGAACAAGACGGCTTGCAGCCGTGGACCTCTTTACGGCATCCCCGTTCTTATCAAGGACAACATCGCTACCCTGGATAAGATGAACAACACGGCCGGGTCGTTTGCTCTTGTTGGCGCGCGGCCAAAGGAAGATAGCACGATAGCCGCCAAGCTCCGGAAGGCGGGAGTGATTATTCTCGGCAAAGCAAACTTGTCGCAGTGGGCCAACTATCGAAGTGCAAGAACAAGCAATGGGTGGTCTGCGTATGGAGGCCAGACAAAGGGTGCTTATTTTCGCGACCAGGATCCCTCGGGGTCTTCGTCTGGAAGTGGTGTTTCATCGTCCATTGGGTTGGCCTGGGCGGCGCTAGGAACGGAGACAGATGGTTCCATTATTTCGCCTTCCAATGTTAATAACGTTGTGGGCATTAAGCCCTCTGTCGGCCTTACCTCTAGGTACCTGGTTGTTCCCATCTCCGAGCATCAAGACACTGTTGGGCCCATGGCCAGGACAGTCAAGGACGCCGCGTACCTCCTTTCTGCCATTGCTGGCGCAGACAAAAATGACAACTACACATCGTCTATCCCCTTCAAAGAAAGGCTGCCTGATTATGTTGCAGCTTGTAAGGATGACGGCTTGAGAGGCAAGAGGATTGGCGTACCTCGCAGTTGGTTGCCGCCGCGACAATTTACCTCTCCTCTCTTGCAGGCATTTGAAAATGCGCTGGAAGTCCTTCGGTCCGAAGGTGCCACCGTTGTTGACGACATCGAAACTCCTGGCCATGAAAGAATCGGAGAATTCACTGACCCTATTCTGGGCGCTGACATGCTCACAGATGTTGCTTCACACTACTTCAACCATCTTAAGACCAATCCTCGTAATATCACCACTTTGAAGCAGCTGCAAGCGTTCACACAAAAGTTTCCCAAGGAAGAATGGCCCGCCAGAGATACGCAACTCTGGCAAGACGCCATTGACAGAGGATTCGATAACACATCCCCCCGGTTCTGGAGTATGTACACGGAGCAGTTGAACTTTGCTGGACCACAAGGAATCCTCGGTGCTCTGAAGAACAATTCACTGGATGCCCTTGTTGTTCCCAGTGACATGATGAGCTCCCTCCCAGCCGTTGTCGGCAGTCCCGTCATTACCGTGCCACTAGGGGGACAGCCAGACTGGTGGCCTGAGGGCAAAAATGAATTTGGAAATCTCAATGCCGTTGGGCCAAATTTGCCATTTGGTCTAGCCTTTGCTGGAGATCTGTTCAGTGAGGAGAAGTTGATTGAGATTGCGTATGCGTTTGAGCAAAAGACCAAGGCTCGGGGCACTGTTCAGCCTCTTGTGAAACCAAAGACTGAACTGCGCGATCTGGTTGGGAAAAGGGGTTAATCCTGGCGCACTAAATAAGGGGATTGGTGTATATGTTACTTTCCAGAGCGAGTGCACTTGGCAGGAAAATACGGGTCCTCCACGTATTTGTCACTATACCTGAATGAACAATCATCGAATGTTGACACTATCCCCTGACATGTTAATGATGTTTACAACTGAAGTTTGAGCCGCTTGGAACAGTAGGCCCCCCCTGTGTGTACTCACCAGTCATGCTCTGCAGGGCTAATAGAGAGTTCCTCGCAGTCTATATTTGTGAAGAATAATAGTGGATGACATATTCATGTGATGCAGCTAAGGTGCAGACTTGCGAGAAAGCGTTCCTGGAGTGACTGCGACTCGCGTCTTGACCAGGAGCATGCCGGTGGCCTTTCTTGCAATCCTCCTGTGACGCTCCCACACCATACCATATATTATGATCCTTGGGCCTCACGTCGAGGAATGTATGCCACCAAAGCCTTGCTGGCGCCTTCCATGCAATACTGCACAGCATCCACCTTACTGCCCTCTGGTGCCAGCTTTGCAATCTGCCGAATGTCACTCGTCCGCGGCAGATACAGCACGTGATCCATACTCCTATATGACGAATGCAACTTATCCAAGTTGTACGGTTGCATGTTGCCCAGGTCAAATACCTCGTCAGTCCTGTACCCTGGGCCTCCCCACGGCGGGCTTGAAAACAGCACCGTCTTGCTCACATCGACCCTCAGGTCTGGGTGAAGTTCTTCAGGCCGATTGTGTAAAAGGTCCAGGTACTCAAAACTATCTGCATGGACCCAGGTGATTATTGAAGGGTCTACCTCGTAGAGCTCTGCGTTGTTCTGGGCGCATGCCAAGGTTGAGGCGTCACGTTCAACAGCGATGATTCGCTTCCAGCGGTGGGTGAGCGCGAAGGCGATAGTATTGCCACCAGCGCCAGCAAAGGCATCTATGAGGGTGTCTTTTGAGGCGTCTGTAGCCGACAATTCACTAGCAATTCGACTTGCGGCCATTAGGATGCAACTATCAAGGCAAGAAGTCGTGATATGGGTACATACTTTGCTACTGGTTCTGGAGTGACGCCAAACCAGGCGTCGTCTGTGAGATATACGCCTTCATCGTACCAGGAAAATATGGAATATCTTTGTGAAAAGTATCTATTGCAAGCTTTTAGTATGTCAACGTCGTTGCTGGTTGTGGTGGGCGCCTCGCACTTTTGAATATCCCATGGCACTTGATGTCTGCCCTCGTAGTGTTTGCATTCGTCAGTAAGGGGAAACTTGTCTGCTGGCTCCAAGACATAGCTTGTTGCAATTTCAGGGACCTTGGCGGAGACCATATCAATTTCCTTGCGTGAAAGCCCGTCTGCGCACAGACTATAGAGGGGTCAATTTTTGTTGTGTCTTTTCTTCTTCTCAAGATGTTGAAAATATAGCACTGAGGGTGCGTGTCAAAGTAAAAGAGACCGGCGACGAAAGAAAAAAAAAAGTGGACCGCCCAGTGGCATCCCCAGCGCCCCGCGCTAGCAACTGTGGCGCTGACCTGCCGCCTGCAAGGCTGCAATGGGACAGCTTGCGATAGCTTCAGACGACGCCTAGAGTCCTAGATCTCCGACCAAAAGTCACTCGCCCCGAGATCACGCCCTGCCTCCCAAATACCTCAAATTCGAACTCGCCAGCCAACAAACCGTACCAGGAATACACAAAGGCTGGTTACAACACAGCAATAATGTTCAACGCCCTGAATCGGTTCATGTCCCGTCTGGACGGCGACGTGCCCCAGCGACGCAATGAGCAGGGATCCTTTGGTTTCCAGGTCCTGAGGAACACAAACCTACAGCTGGCGATCGAGCCGTGGTTTGACTTTATCGTCGGGATCAATGGGCGGCCAATTGTGCGATAAAAACCGTTCCGAAACGTGAACATCAATTCGCATAGCTAACGCCTTCCCCGCTGATATTGTAGGAGGATCCGAACCCAGCGCTCTTCGCACAAGAAATCCGAAACTGCGCCGGCGGCACAGTCTCCCTCGGTCTATGGAACGCAAAGGTACACGAGTCTATCATCACATCACTTGCAGGATGGCGCCCGTCAAAACTAACCGGGAGACCATAGGGCCAACGGACGCGAGAAATGCACATCCATGTGCCCCCCGATACTGCATCCCTCGGCCTTACCCTCCAATATTCACCAATTGCTTTAGCCGCCAACATCTGGCACGTACTAGACGTTGCGACCAGGTCCCCCGCCGACCAGGGCGGCCTCCTCCCGTACAGCGACTACATACTGGGCAGCCCTGAAGGACCGTTACATGGCGAGAGCGCCTTGGGCGAGCTTGTGGAGGATCATATTGGCCGGCCGCTGCGACTTTTCGTGTACAATAACGAGTATAACGTTACGAGAGAGGTCACAATACATCCTAGTCGAGGCTGGGGCGGCGAGGGTGCCCTAGGTTGTGTGCTGGGCTACGGCGCGTTGCACCGTCTGCCTGCGCCGTTGAGCGAGCCTGTGAGTGCGCCGGGGGAGACCATGTTTGACGGAGCCGTCAATGAGAAGAGCGGCGAGACTGGGTTCGTTTCTGCAGGCGCAGGCTCTGTGCCACCACTTGCTGCCGCAGCTTCAACTGGTGGTGAATATCTGGTGCCCGCCCAAATGGTTGCGTCTGATCCCATGAGTGCACCACCGCGTTCGGCGGCCAAGAAAAAGGACAGGCATCATCCCGCCAACAACAACTTCATGGATGATTACTTCAAGGAGCAAGAAAAGAAGAGCCGAGAGTTGGACAATGCTCCTTCTGGCAAAGGGTCACCGGCACCACCGCCACCCAAGGCGGGTGGTCCTCCAAAAGCTGCAACTCCTGTACAAGAAGCAGCCGAATAGATAGTCACGAAGGATATGTGATAATTGAATCCCTGATCGACTTTGGCTTTTTTTGGTTCACTTGTTCTCTATTCCCGCCCTGAATCTTGCTACCGTATGAAAAAAAAAAAAGGACTCTGTATATCATACACTGAGACTGCGCAACTGCTGTGCTCTATTCTCGTTTTAACGCCCTCAGTTGATAAAGTTGACGCAGAAAAAGTGCAGGATGAGGCTGCAAACAACAAAGTCTGCAAATGCCCTGTAAACCCGTCAGCAACCAATCAGTCACGTCACATGTTGCTCGCAAACCACACATACCTCTCGGGAGAAACAGATGGGAAATCACTCTTATTCGCCGCAGTCGTCTGTATCCGCAGTGAAACTGCCTCATCGTCAGCATTCCTCAACCATCACGGGTGGTACGAGGAAAGAAAACATACCGGTCAAAACAAACTGACCAACCGAAGCACAGAAGCCTGAGAGAAAAGCATTAAACGGCTACCCTCAAATGTCAGCACACACGTCCCATATCGGTCTCTATCCGAGGGTATAAAGAAACGCACATAGTTGCCCGCGAGGACGCAGTACACAAACTGCAGCCCGCCAACGGCGATCAAAAAGAGCAAGAACACATCAATCAGCTTCGTCCGCTGTGGCGTCTCCTTCATGTAGTACTGGTAGATGTTGAGCAGGACTTCGTCCCAGTTGGCGCGGCCGCCTTTGGGAGTCGTTTTGGCTGGGAGGGAGGAAACTGCTGGCGCGGCGGAAGCCTCCTGGACGGGGGCGGCCGGGGAGGGCGTGGCAACACGGTCGCGGACATTCTTTTTGGGGGCCATTGTGGGCTGTGGTTTTCGGGAGGGGGGAAGGGAGTTTCAATGGCGGAGAAAGAAGTTCGTGGAGGAAAGTTTTTGGAGAGATGGCTTTGCTTTCGTGGTGGCAGTTTCGGAGTTGGAGACTCTGGACAGGTAAGCTTCAAGGAGAGCGGGGCGCTGATTGGCTGGAGGAGCTGGGCTAGATCTGGGGGTGGTGCGACCCGCTGATGTCGTCAACTCCTCCGAGGCACCGAAGTGGTTCGGATTGAACTTGGTTCTGTTCATTGAACATATTCGTGCCTTTAGCAAGACGTAATTTGTTCAGGGCGCGCATAAGCTGGAGATACCGTTCGCCTATTCCGTTTTCTAATAAAGATGGTATGTATTTTTCCTTTTCCAGACCAACAATCAACCATGGTAGCTGAGCTCAGCAACTCACGTTCCGCAGCCTCAACTTGAAACCTCATCCTACGCCCTGGCCGCGCTCACTGCTGGCGGCGGTATAATGGGCTACGTCCGCACAAGATCCATGCCCTCAATCATAGCAGGAACCGCCGTCGGTGTCCTCTGTACGCTGTCTCCCGCTCCCGCCTCGTAGAAATTAGTTCACGCAAGCTGACCATGGCATGTAGACGGACTTGGTGGCTACCGCATCCAGAACCACCAGCCCTACGGCGTCGAGTTGAGTCTCTTGGCCTCAGTTGTTCTCGGAGGATCCGCTATTCCCCGCGCAATTCGCCTCCGAAAGCCCGTCCCGGTGCTGCTTAGTGTTCTGTCAGTCTTTGGTCTCTTTACCTTTGGCCGGGCGTACCAACAAAAGTTGTAAATGCAACAGCGTAGGCCGACGTGTATGTAGAATGGTATAGGAATATTCTCAGCTCGAAAACAATCAAGAAATTTGAGTAGTGTCGTGTCGCGTTTATCTTTTGTAGTGTACAAATGCCCCCCTCACTCAATGGACCTCTGTCTTCGTCGTATTTCCTTTAACGCCAGTATGAATACACAAGGTAGATTGTCGATCGTGTGGTAAACTTCCCCGTTCGCTCGCCCACGCCACATCAACTATGGACATCTAGAGGCCCAAGGCCTTCTGCTCCTCCTTGATCCTGTCACGTTTCGCCCTTGCGGACGCCCTGTTCTCCGCTTGTAGCTTTCCCCGCTCGAGTCGTAGACACTGGTTCACCTTGTCCTTGACGTCGTTGCACCCGCCGGTGGCTTTGTGCATGAAGCCTCTGTTGTGGCATTCTTCGAGGGCTGCGATGATTTCTTCGCACGCTTGGTCGGCCACCTGTCAGCTTGTGTATCTATTCAGGAAAAGCGTTTGCTAGAGGGGTGTACCTAATGCGTTCTTGGTATGAAGATGCGGATGCATTTTAGCCTGTGAATAGGACACTGAAGTGGAAGTGAATTGATTAGAATCGCTTCCCGAGACGAGATTAGATTGGGAGACCGTTCGAGGTCGCCAGTGCCGTCGGGCCAACCAGAGACTTAGAATTTAGGTGGGCTTGCAAAGGTCATCCACCTGGTGGGATGAAAGTCGAGCTGCCAGCATCAAACCACAACATCCCATCTTGTGCCTCACGCATCAACGTGATAAACACGGACAGGACCCCGAGGGGGCAAAGATTTGAGGGGAACGGCCACAGTGGGATCATAATCCAGCGAATAGCACCATGTCTGCGTCAACGGCCGCGGCGCCAGAGGGAAAGAGGCAACAAGGTATGTCGAAAGCGTATTTCTGCCCCTCCTTCTGTTGGCCTCGTCGCAGCTAATTCTGAAGCAGATCTTCAAACGACATACTCAAACTACAAGAACACTCTGCAGCAAATAGCGCAAAAGATTGGAGATATTGAGCAAGAAGCAGAGGAGCATAAGTAAGTCCCCTTCAGTGATACCTGGTCCCTACGTTTCGTCGCTGTCGTCGTCGCGCTCACGCGAACAACTGGCCCCCCTGGTCTTCATACACGCTTAAACGAAGCACCAATATTTTCCCTCAGTTTAAATCTCACCGCCTCCATTTACTCCGTATATCACACCGCTTACAATTTGTGGCTTGCAAATAAATAGACTGGTTTTGGAAACATTGGAGCCTTTATCGGAAGATCGCAAGTGCTTCCGACTCATTAATGGCGTTCTTGTAGAGAGAACCGTCAAGGATGTAGTCCCTGCTTTAAAAACCAATCAAGAAGGACTAAAGAAGGTCTTGGATGACTTGGTGAAGCAATATAAAACGAAACAGGATGAGCTGGATAAGTGGAAGGTATATGCCACAACCAACACCTGTCCTCTCTATGCTAGTACAGGCAGTTTACTGACGAGATGTTACAGAAGAAGAATAACGTGCAAGTAGTCCAGCAATGAGAACGCGGAGAAAGATCCATGCTTCATAGGAAATAGATGGTCTTTCTCAACAGCAAGAACCTGAACGATATACGGGGAATTAGGGCAAGTTTGTCACGTCTTGACTTTAGCCATTGGTCATTTCTCCATGAAACCAAGCAAGCAATCTGCTGGAACATGTCACTTTCAGGCTAGTATTGCTTTCTTTACCCGTAGCTTTTTTTTTTCCCATCGGCGCATCATGGGTGAGCCAACACTCAACCTTGCGTTGCTGGAACGAACACATTCTAGCTGCATATCATGTTCAAAACGTGACCGGAAGCTGCAGGAAACATACCCGTGATGGTGTGATGCCGCTGGTTAGAATTACGATCGTTGCGTGACTTTGGCCTGCGCGGCACTGACCTTTCGCTGCCCAACCGGTCTCTGAATTTTTTTTTTTTCTCAGCTCATGTTGAAGATCTTTTGTGGCGCATAATCCAACCAACACTGGTAGCAAGCAACTTCGGAAAAACTTTTGCAAAGTTTTTTCCAACTTGATCCCTGCCAACCATCAAAGGCCAGTGTGCATGCCCTTCGTTGTGTTGCCGACGACTTGTAATTTGATCCTGAGAGTCAAAACCCGTGACCGAAGATGTGAATACACGGCATCCATGGAGACAGCCCACCCACCATTTCCAGATTGTACTGTTGGCAATGCCACGTCATTCGGAAAATATTCTCACGTCGAGAAAACAAATGCAAGAATAACCAGATATGTTATCTTCTGTGATGCGATTCCTTTACTAATGTCCAATCCAGTAAAAGGAGGATGATGGTAGACGCGGAATAATAGCTTCGTATTTCAGAAGAAAAAGAAAGATGCATACTGCATGCCTAAACATGACATATCCTTCCATTCTGTGTATGACACATTTCAGAACACAATTGCAGCTGCCCACGATAAAGATGCAGTAAGCCTTGCAACCCATGGCTACCTTGAAGATGGTTTCCTTGAACTTGGCATGGCCATGTCTGCCATGGCGCCCGTATCCTTGCCAGCCACCCTCTCTGCTTCTCGAAGCGGCAGTTGGTTCCGTAAGCTTGGTGAGTGGCCACTCTTGAAATAAGGCACTTGTAGAGAACGCCGAGGCGATTTGAGCGGCAGAGAATAGCGCCGCTAATGCTTGGTGATGTCTTGAAAAGCTCGATCAGACAGCCGCATCATCACGTCACCGTCAAGGTTGGTTTCCAGGCAATGGGTGGCGATGTTGGGGCTGTTCCAAGTCGAGAACCCCGTGCCCATGACCACGGAACCGATGAAGGCTGTTTGGGTTCAATGCAGCTCGACTGTCCGCATATGCAATACAGCCTTGGTAGAGGGAATTGTTTTGATCAGATGTCGGAGGTGTCGTTATCCGTATGCGAGTGTCGGCATTTACATGATGGGTGTGAGGGGAACGGTTCCGATATGAATGTCTTCCGTCCGTGTCAGGTACAGTCCATCATCATATTTTGGCTAGCGTGGAAAAAAAATTTGACTGGCCAAACCTGAAAATTTGCAGCCAAGGGCGTAAAAATTTCGACGAGATTCAAACAGTATGATCGTCCCGTCGGAGATGGCTTGTATGCACAGTCTTTCTGCCTTGGGGGCTCGAGGCAGAAAGCCTAGATTGTACATGATATAGCCTTACGCCTTTGGCCCAGTCGGAAGGTATGGCTGGATGTGCTGCCCAACCATTGGGTGTATTGGCGATTTGGCCGCAGAATGGGCCTTTGGGTCTGCATTCAGGCTACGGTTCCTGAACGACTCCGACGCTCTGGGCATCGACTGATTGGCAGGAGTAGTGGTTGGGGCAAACGCAGGTCAGCCTGATAGTCTGACAGGAAGATCTGTTCCCCCATGAAGTTTGACTTTGGTCTAACTATGCATGAAGTCAGCAGCGGTGCGAAAATGTGCATTTATTGTAACTAGATGCTGTGTTGGATGCGGCATGGTGTCAGACTTTTGATGGATCGAGCCAGGGGGGATCCAAGAGATGTTTTCTCTTCTTGACCGGTCTTCCCGCCAACTTCACTTGCCATGGAGTGATGTAATAACCAACCCTTGTAGGTTCGGGTATCATGCGCATGGCCTGAAGCACACCGCCATAAGTGGGACTAAGTTCGTTGACCCCTGTGCTCGATGCAGGCTGGCGAAGAGGAATGGAATTATGGAGCTGTTTGATCACGGCGCAGATGTTGGCGCTGATTGACGTTGGAAGTGAAGTATGTCTGGCAGCTCGAGCCTGTAGTTACCTGGGTACTCACGAGCAGATACATGCACCATCCTAGGTTGGAACCTTGGTGATAATACTTGTTGAGTGTACTCGACTTGGATATGGTGATGGGGCGGCAGGAGAAGTACTGATGTGTGGACGTGAATCCAGGTACGGAAACTACCTACCTAGGACCTAGTACCTCGGGACTATGCCGGAAACAGCTTAGAGCTAAGGTGCCCAGGTCAGAGTGCTGCGACTTATCGATACTATTGACAAAGCGGTCGACTGTGCTGCAAAGACGAGCGAACGGCGGGTCTCTTGTTGCAGGTGAGCCGGGGCCAGACAGAGGCAGCAGTGGCAAGACGGCATTGAACTTGTGGAGGACTCTGGAGAGTATGGGAGCATGGAGTACGGAATAGAAAGCAAAGAGTTCACATTGAAGTCTGGTCGCACGTCTGGAGCTGGGGCGGGGCACAGACCGGCGACCTTTGGCTCCGCTAGTTGCCTGGACCTCTACTTGGTGGCAGGTCTCCAGCTGCCATCACTAGCACTCGAGCTCTATGAGACCAGTTGACGCCGTGAAGAGCGCCAGGCATCAACAGGCTACAGCACTCAAGCCGGCGAAGACAAGCTCATTGAGCCCAGCCCAGCCCACTCAGAGCTCAATGTTGGGTCAACCAGACAGCAGCCGGACTGGATGTGTTTTCTAGCCTCGCAACCTCGTCAGCCTTCTTTCTCTTCAATCAACCCCACGCCTCTCTGCGCTCCACCAATGCAATTGCTGCCACCCTCACGGAACAACGCCGATTCCCTCGTCTGAAGAAAGCCCATTTTGCTTGGGCTCCTGTCTCGCGACCCCAGCCGGTATGCCAGCCCTTTCAATTGCGTTGCTTCTGCTGCTGTTTCTGTCTCGTCCTTTGCGCCTCTTGGGACGCACGGCCTGCCGTGGCTGTTGCGGTTGCGCTGTGTGCAACCTCGCATCGCCGTCGCAACCTTTGCGTCGATGTCGTCGAGCGCGAAGCGCATCCAAACCCCAAACCGCCTCGCCCGCGATCCCGTGCTCTTTCTCTGCTCCCTGCCCGTCGCGCCCTGGTCCTACCCATTCGCCGACCATTCCGGCGTCGGGAACGAAAAGAAAAGAGAAAAGGGAAAAAAAAAAAAGACAGCTGGTCCTCTTTCCCTCAGCCCGTCATCCTGGGAGACCTCGTTCTTTTCCGGCCGCTTCGTACACGTACGCCCCCGTCGTCAAGCTGATCGCACGGGAAGATTCGCGGCGCTCTGTCTCCCACGTCTTCGTGTCGTGTTGCCTCGCTTTGCCGACACCCGTGTTCTTGGAAGCTCTGCCTCTGCTCTCTTTTTTACCTGCATGCCCACACCCCCCTTCCTTGGCCTTGGCCTCCCTTTTGGTGCGCCATCGTCTCCCAACCTACAAGAATTATATCGTACACGCCCAAGCATCTCGTCATAGCCCCATTACGTTGCCTTGTAACCTAGGCGAGGCGTGGTGGAAGCTATATGCAACCGCAATTGTCCGTTGAACGTCACCACTGACGCATCTCGTGCAGCTAACCAAACATCCATCAGCCCCAGACAGCCCAGACCTCCTAGACTGCTTTCTGCCCTCCGTCAACGTGGCCAGGGGGACACATCCTTCCTTTCGAGACCCCATCTGTACCAGCCCGAACACCTTTTACACGGACGCTAGCAGCCGCTGCAGGTAGCCAAATATGTCGGACTCCCCCCAATCTCCTACAAAGGATGTCGAGCAAGGTGCACAGTCACCCGACGACGAAGGACAAATGAATGACAATCAAGACCCACACTCGGCTGGCGGCGCCGCTGGTTATGAGTTTGAAGTTAAAGAGCAAGACAGATGGTTGCCTATAGCCAATGGTACGTCGTCGTTCTCCTTCCAATCTCCATCTTGATTTGTTGTCTTTGGCTAGTGTACCTAGGGTCTGGCGTGTCTCTGACAACTTGGCCACTCATGTCTCACGAACCAGCTCCTACTTCACCGGGACCAAGTCGTTCTGCTAAGCAAGAATATCATGATGAGCTCGATGCTAACATTCGTAACTTTGCTCCAGTCGCCCGAATTATGAAGAATGCTCTTCCTGACAACGCGAAGATAGCCAAGGAGGCTAAGGAGTGTATGCAGGAATGTGTCAGCGAATTCATCTCTTTTATCACCAGCGAAGGTGAGTCCAAGTCAACCCAATTTGTTTGCCTAGCTACAATTTGGTTAAAAAACGCGAGACTGAAACTTTTGTCAACTAGCTTCCGAAAAATGCCAGCAAGAGAAAAGAAAGACGGTGAATGGTGAAGATATTCTGTTTGCTATGACTTCACTGGGGTTTGAAAACTATGCGGAGGCTTTAAAAGTTTATCTTTCCAAATACCGAGAGGTACTGCCATCTGCTGTTGTCTAAGTCTGGGTCTTCAAACAGTCTGGTGTACTGACAAGCCTGCAGCAACAAAATCAGTCCAACCGGGAGCGTGTCATGGAAAACACTTGGGCTGGTTCCATGATGCCAGGTGAAAAGGGCGACGGGACTGCGCCGGGGCAAGAGTTTACCGGTGGCGATGCCTCGAACAACGCCGAAGCTGGCGCCGACCCCAACTATATGTACGGCCAACATGCCGGCCACAACGGAGCTGCAGCCGGAGAGGGCTACTAGAAAGCCCTCATCGCGCAATTTCTTCAAGTGAGATTGGCAATGCTGTAACGAACGCTATGAGAACCAGGACCCCCGGGCCTTCTTAGGCCGAATGCCGCCAACTCCCAAGACACGAAAATACTCGTACAGCAACCCTAAGCTCGTCCTAGGGAATATTTTGTTTTGCCGTTTCCTAGTGTTGTTCCTTTTCTTCTTCTTCTTGAGTGGCGATGGGCAATTGTAAAAGTATAGGCGGCGCCTATGGTGTACGTCAAATTTTATTTGGGAATCAATCAGGGCTTAACAGCGCAGGGTTTTTTTACTGTGTAACCAAACGTGGGCTGGATAACATGTTTTGCTTCAAACTGGCCTCGATTCCTTCGCTGATGGGAAGGGGGAAGGGACGTCTGATAATAGAGTCTCAGCCAGCTTCAATAAGCACAATTATTAAGTGCACATAGTCGACAGACTTGACAGAGCCTAGCGCATATTTGACAGTTTGGGTATAGAGAGGGTTCTAGACTACTTCTTCTTGTGGATAACTTGATGCGTTTCCTGCGACAAAGCTTAAAGAATAGGGTGAAATCTTCCTGACTGTTACTCGAGGAATGATTTGGTAAGCTAAGTCCTTGCCGGACAGGTTGATTGCCGGGCCAAACTGGGCTTTTCATTTATTATTGAAGCTTTGTCTGTATCCACACGTTGCAGAGTCTGGTATTTGGCACACGAAAAAATACCAAAAAACGGGCGTGGCCACGCCACGGTATTTTATGTGTTATACACCCTTATATCACTTGCGACAGTATTATCTATCATCTGTCAGTGCGGAGTACGCAAGGCAAGTTCAAACGTTGGCAAGCCACTTAACGAACTCGTGTGGGTCAACATTTGACGGCGCGCACGAGCCATGTAACTCGGGACTCCGTACTCCGTACTCCGTATCCCTTTGAATGTGTTGAGGTGCCGCCTTTGTATCTACTCCAGAATACCCTTGTCGAGTATTTCTACCTGTACAAGGCCTAATAAGCCTAATAATACTGCCAAGAGGTATGTACTAGGGACGATTAAGAGTACTTTTATTATCATGATAAAAACGTGAGCATACATGTACTTACCTGACACTTAATTCTCATTCCCGGTAAGGGACCTCGCTGGCACCTTAACACGTTCAGAGGGATACGTGATCGAGGGCACAGAGAAGGATGCGGCTAAAGGCAAACTCGACTAAGAAAAAAAATGCAGGACCGACGTGGAAAAGTCGAAATAAAGATGACATGCTTATATATACATAGCCAGCATCAGATTTTTTCACCATGTTAAATATGGCAGTTTCGTTTCGACCTTTGACCTTTGAGGGGTGATCAAGATGGTAATCGAAAGGGCACGTGCGGGACCCACTTTTCACGGTGAAAATCTTCCCACCGCTCTCCTCTGCAGAAAAAAAAAACTGTCCCACATCCCCTACATCATTGCCGCCGCCTTTCATCATCTCCGCATCATTATTTCGTTTACCACGGTCGGGTCATCTCTTGATGCTGGCCAGTGATTGCGTTCCATGATATCCCCAGACGATAGGCATCCCGTATCTTAATTTGTCGTCACAGTTCGTGCTTCTTGTGCTATGAACATACCTTGATTGCGCATCGCTAGAGTTGCCATAGAAACTCGGCCCTTTCTGCCCAGGATTCTCTAGTGCATGTGTCGCATCGAGTCATCACCATCTTGATGCGACCATTCACCCCAAACACCAGGGCCTTACCTGGCCATACACCACGAACCGCAACGCCTGTCAAGTCTATTCTGAAACCCGCTTCCGTACTCGGGCGAAGAAAGGGGTTGCACGACGAGACCGACTCTTCACCTGTAGCGGCGCCCGAAAGCCCAACAAAGCGACGCAAAGTTTTTTTTGACGACGTTCGAAATGTAACATACGAAGTTGGCCGCAGAACAATGGACGACGTCAAGTTGGAAGTACGGGCTGCCCTGGAGGATCATCTTCGTGGCAATGGCGGCCAGTATGACATGCTGAAGGAGTTGTTCGCCAACGACAGACAAAGGTATCTGCCTCCAGTGGTAGGAGAAGATGATGATACTTTGAAACCCTACGAACTCCAAGTTTACGTTATGGCCTTGACGAGCTGCATACCGATTTTGAAAGGGAAAGAATGCAGCGGTTTGGTGAGGACAATATTGCAGTGCTCTTGGCTGGGACGAGATGCCGCCTTCGCAAAGGTTTTTACGCACTTCTTGGCTGCCCTTGTCAGTGCGCAAGGGTCATATCTCGTACCCGTCCTGTCAATGATGGTGGAAAAATTCCGCGACAGTCGACCTTCGGCCTGGTCCGTACCCGATTTCCCCGAGGTGAGCAGGGTCATAATGCGTGATCGGCTACACTCTAGCATCGAATACATCCTGCAGATGTTCCCATCCGCGGTAGCAGTGCTGGAGAATTTGCTCAGCTCCAAGTTCCCCTTCCCCGACGAGTCGGTCCGGGTCCACATGGCCTATATCCACAACCTGCTTCAAGTCAAGAAATACGTGCCTGGTTTGCAAGATGAGATCCTGGACCTCATTTTGAACCGAGTCGTCAAGATCGATTCCCAGATGCAGGTGGACCTAGAAGACCTGGACGATGACGTTACTGCAGCCGTTATGTACGCGCTGCGGGAGAATCAGCGGCAGCCGTCGGCCTGGGAGGATGATGATTCTGATGACAGCGACAACGAGTCAATCGACAGCGAAGATCTTGATTACGACCAAGAAGCGGCGCGGATCAAGGCTGTCAAGGACAGTGTAGAGAAGATGGATGCTGTCCTGGATACGCTCTTTACCGTCTACAGCCCACACTTTGTCAATCCTGGGTCGGACAACGCATTCGACATGTTTACCACGATTCTTCGCGAGTTTCACCACATGGTGTTACCTACGTACAAATCAAGACACACGCAGTTTCTGATATTCCATTTCGCGCAACGACACGAACGTCTCATCGATGCGTTCTGTGGCCAGCTTATGGCCACTGCATTTCAATCAAACACACCAAACGTTTTGAAGCAAGCCGCCGCAGCCTATCTGGCGAGTTTCGTGGCTCGCGGAGCGCATGTTCCACCTAGTTTGGTGCGAACCATGTTCACACTGCTCCTTCATCATCTTGAGCAGTACAGAAGAAAGTACGAGCCGTTGTGTCGCGGACCAGACTTGAAGAGATTTCACCCTTACTATTCGCTTGTCCAAGCTACATTATACATTTTCTGCTTTAGATGGCAAGACTTGGTAGTGTCTGCCCCCGAAGTGGTGGACCCGGAGGATCCGGCATCGTACATTGGGCAGGATTTGGAATGGATTGGAACTTCTAGAAAAGATCTGTCAGTGCAAATCTTTGGCAAGCTCAACCCGCTCAAGGTGTGTGCGCCCGTAATCGTGGATGAGTTTGCCAAGCTAGCACATCGCCTAAATTTCGTATACATTTATCCATTGGTGGAGAGCAACAAGCGCGTCCGATTGACTCAATTCCTTTCGGCGACGTACTCTACAGGTGGCGCACTGCGGGATGCTGGATACGAAGGGCAAGAGGAGAGCTATCACCAACTCGACCCGTACTTTCCGTTTGATCCATACCAGCTGCCGATTAGCAAGCGATGGCTTGCGGACGACTATGTGCACTGGAAGTCGGTCCCTGGCCTGAACCAAGATAACGACGCCGATAACGACAGCGATGGCATGGAGGAGGAGGATGACAACGAGGAGTTGGTGGAGGAGACAGCAACGGACACTGACGGTGATAACTTTTGAGTAGCGAAAATGGTGGCGTGCGAGTATTTTTGCTCTGTAGTTTTTTTTTTTTTTTTTTTTTCCCCATCCTTGGGTACATGATATCCCTTGCTTTAAGGATGGCACTATTTAGCATCAGCGAGGAGTTGGGAACATGTCGTTCGAATGTAAGCCCACAGGGCGTGGATCTTGTAGCGCAAAATAAAAGTGTTGAGTTTTAGTTGACGGTGGCTTGCGATGAGCAAAATCCTGGAACAGAATGCTTGGTTACATGTGCAGTGAAAGCCAGGCGTCAAATCAAGCGTGCATCAGAGTTGCGTATTTTGTGGGTTGCATCTGCCGACATCTGTCCTGTGCACGGGAGCTCTCAAATGGGGATCCACCAGTCGACGGGCAAGATCCGATCTGCAGAGACTCGAAATGGTGGTGAGCGTGGAATCGGGGTGGGAAGAAAAGAAAAAGAGAGAAAGCGAGACGTGGTGAAGACGGATCGCCCACCGACCGGTACTCCGCAGCCAACTGTCAAGTTTCACGCCAACCAGTTCCCGCCACGGCACATGAACATCCAAGCCGTCTCGTTGATCTGAGCATAACTGGGGAGTCGGACCTGGGACCAGACGATTAATTCTTCATACAGTCCTTTGGCGGACCATCGTCGCGCGGCTGCCGGGCCGATTGCGCAACATAACACAGGCACCGGCGAATTTTCACCTTGCCTAACCAAACTCGGGGGGGGTGGGAACCATAGATTTGTCAAGTACATTGCGCCCGGAGAGGCAAGCGATTACCGACGCCATGAGCGAAGACGCCAGCAGACCCTCCTTCACGTCCTTCTGGAAGAAGGGCAAGCAGAAGCTTCGCGGGAAGGCCTCGGCTGCAGCTACGCCCGAGGGAGCCGCCGCGGCTGCAGATACATGTACGTGCCCGTCCTAGCATTTGACGTCTCTCTATCAAAGTCCCTGAAGGCCCGTGAGGTCCCTGTCCCCCGCGGGCGGCATCTCATGCGTGTGCGCATATGCGTTGGTGGGCTGGTGTGATTTGTCATGATGGCGTTGAGGAATCCGCATGATTCCAACATGACCATTTTGCTAATTTCTCCGATTGCTCTATTCGTTCTTTTGTTTTATATGAAGGACATGGAGCTCTTCTTTTATTCGCTTCTCCCAATCTTCAGGGACATTTTCTCTCAGGAAACAAAAATTACATTTGGTGCAAAGTTGCGCCTCGTCGTGTCCGACACCTCACGCACATACACAACACAACAGTCCTCGCATCCAATGCCGTCCCTCACCAGAATCGCCAGGTATGCTGACAAGCCGGCCAAAGCACCCGCAGACGCCGCCGAGAAGCCCAAGTCGGACCAGGAGAAGGCGCAGCTGCGCCGCGCTCAGGTGCGCCGCGCGCAGATCCAGCACCGCCAGCGCAAGGCAAACTACACCAAGCAGCTCGAGATTGACGTCTCGGAGCTGCGCGACCTCGTCTCCCTCACGGAAAAGGAGACGGCCGCGCTGTTCAAGGAAAACTCCCTCATCCGGGAGGCCCTTGAGAATGCCGGCCTGCCGCTCGTCACGGCGACGCAGCAGTCTCCCGAGGCGGCGGCGGCGGCGATGCAGCAGGTGCGTCTCGACGCTGGCCCCGTCGGCTCCCCCGCCGCCGTGGAGGAATCGCCCGAGCTGTTCGGGGACATTGACATCGACGACCTGACGGTGACGCTGAGCATGGACGCCGCGCTCGGCGCGCCGTGCTTCCACATCAGCTCCAACTCGTCCGGCGCCAGCGTCGCCGCCGAGACGCCGAGGCGGACCATAGCCGGCGTCGCCCTGACGTGGGAGCAGGAGCAGCGAGCCGTCAACTTTATCCTCGGGTATGTGCTTTCCTCCCCTCTTTTCTTGGTCTACTTGCGCATTGTACATGGTTTGCCTGACGACGGACGCCCCCCCTTAGCCTCGAGCACTGCTGCTGGAACCACTTCTCCCTGGGCGACTTCCACCTGCACGACCCGGCCCTCTGCTCCGAGACGGAAAGGGGCCACGCGCTCATGGCCAGCGCGTACTGCATGGCCTCGGCGCCCGAGAGCGTCTACACGGGCCGCGCCGCCCTCGAGGCCAGGCCCGGCAAGGCGGCGAGGCCCAGCTTCCAATGGGGCGCGTCGGGCATCACGCTCGAGTCGCTGCACGGGCTCGCCGCCTCGCTCAACCCCGGCGACCTCGAGGTCACGCCCGTGCAGGCGTGGTTCGAGCTGGCGAGCCGGTACCCCGTCGAGGTCTTGCTCGGCGGGACAGTGCTGGACACGCTGCAGAGGGAGTTCAACGGCGTCGTGCGCTGCGTCATGTACGGCGCCGTCATTGAGAGGATTGCCTTTGAGAGCATTATTGCGAGGGTGCTGGGCCCGTCCGAGGGCTCGCTGTGGGCTTGATATCTTCTTCCATCTTGTTTGGGCCTTTTTTTCTTTCTCTTTTTTTGTGTGTGTGTTTCTGGGCGTTTAAAAACTTAGAGTTGGCGTCATTTCAAATGTTGGCGACGGGGAAGTGTGGCGGCCACGAGAAAGGGGCGATAGAGATGAAAAAAGTTGGCCGAGTGGACATGAGAGCCGTGACAAAACAGAGAATGATTGAGCTCTCGCATTGGAATGTACTCGGTTGTTAAGTGGTTCGTGAAGTCTTGTAGGGTTGCTTTGAGATGGCGTGACAAGACTGGGTATGATTTGGGTCAAATCGCGTAGATGACTTGTAGCGACCGTCATGACAGGCTGGCAGCAATAAAAATCTGGTATCAATCACACTGTCGCATCAAAAACTCATGGGCCCCAGTTCAATATTATGCTCGTATTATCCCACACTCACAGCGCCCTCACCATGGTCCTCTCGTCAAAAAGATCCTTCAACAACGCCTCGATACAAGCCTCTCTATCCAGCGCTCCCATGGCATACGTAGACTCAAACGCATAGATGCTCAGTTGCCCAAAGAAGGGGCGTAAAATCTTGGCCACTAGTTCATCCTTTCTCTCCAAGCTAACATCATCGTTGATACCGCCTGGCCCAAGTAGCGGCCGTCTATGAGGGCCGCTCGCGGCCACGTGCGCCTCCGTATCTGGTTGTAATGCACCGTGGGTGCTGAAACTACCCAATTCTTCAGAGAGCTCGTCCACAAGCGCTATGGGCTGGTATGTGGACGAGCGGTAGACTGCTTCTATGGTGTCGGTGATGAAGAGCCACTCGTGAAGTTGAAAGTCGTCTGGGGCGACGCAGATGAGCAAGTCGAGAAGCTTGCACGCTTGTAATATGCCCGTGTTGAGATACATGTCTGATGCGGCGCTGTGGTCTGGCGCGACGACGGATGAGATGGCAGCGTGGATCTCGCCGTTGACGACGGGCCACGACATGGCGAGGTGCATCGGGCTGGTTTTGAGGACCAGCGCCCGGATGACCATGTATACATCGGCTCGGGTTGTTGATGATGGAGAGGAGGTTGATGTGGCTGATAGTAATTCAACCAGTTTGTCGAAGATGGTGGGCAGTTCCGCAACGAAGCCATCGTCCGCAGCGGCCAGAACCAGCGTTGCAATTCTTCGCAGGTTGAGCTGTGTCTTTCTGTCCGCCTCTAGTCTCGCTGAAGTTGCGCCAACCCCAAATACTATGCCTGCCGTAGTTGGGGCACTGATGCGAGCTACGATTTCCGGCATCCGCTCCTTGTCCGTAAGAACCCACTGCTTCAGCAAGGGTAGCCATCCATCCTTGACCAGGTCCAGGTTCATCCCAAAGAAGCGATTGTCGTTGAATGAGTCCCCAACATCCTTCTTCCAGGTCTTTTGGTTGTTTTGCAGTCTCGACAGCTCGTGAAACAGTCTCAAAGTGTTGGACGTTACGGTATCTGGGAATGACTTGGAACGCAAGGTCGGCCCAACAACATTGGTCGAGATGGTGCCAGCAGCAGAAAGAACCCGGTCAGGTTCAAGAAGGATCTTGGATAGGTTTGGTACGACAGATGCCAATACTGAGACGACGTCGTCAGGCCCGTCCCCTGTCGTCCCCTGTCTTCGTGAGCCGTCTGCCTTGGACTTTTCAGTAATGTTGGTGAGGCTACCAGACTCTGTAAACGTTAAAGGTCGAGTTGTGAACAAAGCAGCTAGCAGTCGCAGGAAGATATCCTATAATGGTGTTAGTAGATTGTCATCCTTCCGCAAAGGGGGGCTGGCTTGATGCCTGTAACTCACTCCCAACTCTCGCCGCATCCGTCTCTGCTCTCCAAAGTTGGTATTGTCCACCTTTTCACCGAGGATAGCTGCGAATTCAAGAAGACTGGGCAGCGTTTGGCGATGCGGGAATGGGTTGCCGAGAAGGTCCTTGAGAAATGTCATGCAGTCTTGCCAAATCTCGTCCATGGCGTCATCTTCCAAAGACCTGCTATATTCGACAAGAAACACCACAAGATCGGAATCTTGCAGGGAAATTGTTAGTGTGGATTTCCGGGCTGGATCCAAGGCGTTAGGGTTCGTCCGGCTATAAATTGCATTAAACAGCGCGGGGATGGAGTGCCTCGGTCGGCATGCATCAAGAGATGAGAGAAAGTTAAAGATTTGTGTTCGCTCCATGTCGCTGCCAGAAGCTCGCCAGATGTCAGTGATGGTCTCTAGACATTCCAAAATCTCCGCGGTAAAGAGGTGTTCCATTAATCTGCGAGCACGGTTCCTCATACGCAAGGACGTGTAGCCAAAAGACGCCGAGGAGCCAGGATCCTGTTTCCTGGAGTCATCGCCTTGACCCCAAGACCATATCGCGTAACAGATGCGCATCGCATCTTGAAAGGCGAGATGAACAGTAAGGCGATCATTGGCCGTGGCACTTCGCGATTGGGGACCTTCTGACTGGAAAACACCAGATACCATGCTTCCAAATAGCGATGATGGTTGCTCAGGCCCCTTTATCAACTGGGTCCGGGCTTCTTCAGCCAGGAGCTGATCATGGGCCAGAGCTAGGACTTGTTCCAGCCCGTTGAGTAGGTAGATCAATGTCGACTCGGGTGTGTTCCCTATCATGACGGTTTCGCATGGTTCGCTTAGGAAAGTGTCGCGGAGGCCAGCAAACGTGGATCCTATATGCTTGCACAATGTCTCGACCAGGGGAATAACTGTTTGAAAAATGCTATGCGAATAGAGGGCGATAATTTGGCCCAGGAATGATATCCAGCTATCGAGGACCGATTGGCTATTTGGCGAGCTTAGTCCGGCCTGCAAGCATTTGAGCAAAGCCGGGGGCATTGGTGGACCCGTTGGTTGGATTTCGCTTGATGGAAATGATGAGTGCCCTATTCTGGAATTGTCCGCACTGGTAGGTCTTTTCTCCGAGACTTCTGCCGACTGTCTGTCATGTGACGCCATGTTTCTGAGTTTAACGGCATCATATACAACGTCCAGCAATAATACTTGGACGTAGGGGTCGGGGGTGTTGATGGATTTGGAGAGTTTGTCAACAAGGATAGGATCCAGTTCAAGGCTGGACAGGGGAGCGGCATATCGGCTCAATAAAAATTGATGGAGAACTGTTAGTGCAAATCGATGCAGTTGGCATACCCGTTCACCCAGCTCGGGACTGGCAGACGATGGCCGCCCGCCTACAACGCATATCATACACACACGAACGAAGAAATCTTGAAGTGTCATTTCGTCTTCTTCTGCTCCAGCTGCGCATGGTCAGCAAAGAAACCAAAGTTGGGCAAGATAATAATGGCATACCCCTGATGTGAGCCGAGCCGTCAATAAAAGAGACGTATTTAGATGCCAATACCGCTCTGGACATATCACCAGAAATTTTGAGGACATTGTGGAGCGTTCGTAAGTAGTAGAGACACAAATCCAAATCATCATCTTCTGTGAAGGTGGTTGGCTGGGAGTTGACTTTCTCGCTTGCACGATGGGTGATAACATGGTTGAGAAATGGCAGCTGTGCCATCTTCATCGCAAATATCAGAAACAACCTGTAACAATCAGCATGTATGTACCACAAGACGAGACTAGACGTGTATAGATGTTCACCTGTCGATTCCAATCATACTATTCAGCCATGATTTAACAACCATGTACGTTTGTGTCCTATCATCCAAAAGAGCATCCAAGACCAAAAACATGGGCTGTGTGAGCATGACCTGGTAGTGGTCGGTGCCAGACAGACGTGGTATTTGTCGCTGATCCAGTGTCTGGCCTTTGGAGCCTCTACGCTCAGAAGACACATCTTGAAGACTATGTGACCACAATACACCAAAAGTTCGTCCATTTTCAGCCGAACGAAACGTCTTCTCAGGACCTGCCATTGGCTTGGTCAGAATTTCAGCAATGGCGGCCTCAATGTCACGACCAGACAGGGTAAGCGCCGTCTGCAATTGCCACAAGCAACGCACAGTTTCGACGTGGTATTTGGGTTCGGAAGCAGATAAGTAGGACCAGGCATGACGAACTAATGGCCCTACTAGGTCAGAAAACTCCTTGTCTTGAATCCTTCGTGCGGAATACAGCTGTGTTGACAACATAACCATGGCCGAGAAATGAGAGAACAATAAGGGTTGTGACTTGCTTAGCTTGCAGTGCAGATATGACACAAGCTGTTTGGCGTCGAAGTGGTAATTTCCAGGTGTCTTGGAAAGAATCTGAGTCAAGATTCGCACGCGAGTTGCAATGTCGTTCACAGGTGAGTCCTTGGAGTCATCGCAAATGTAGATGACGGCCTTCTCCAACAGTAACTCTCCTGATTCTACAGCAGTAAATGGGGGTTGTGATGACTCCAAATTGCCCTGTTCATGTACATAAAACGTCTTTATCTTTTTCAGGAGCTCGACATTGGACGTCGACAACAAAGCTGTTCTGTCTTTTTGATCTCCATTTTCCTTGAGTCTCTGAGGGAATGCTCGTTCAGGAACAAGTTCCAATAGCGAAACGACGGCGCCGAGAACTTGGTCGCACAACTTCTCGAACTCAATATCTGTCAAAGCCGTCTTGGTCTTGCGGTTCTTTGAGTCTTCCAGCATCAACAACGCCGCCAAACATGTCAGCGGCGCGTGAATCGTTATCATCTCCTCTTCACGAACATTAAAGCTGGACGCGATAAAGTTGACCAACGCGAGCTTATCCATGCGATCACTGGCATTGAGACTCCCTGGTCCAATTGCCTGGGCCAATAAGCCGACAATCTCGCTGTAAATCAAACCACTTTCGATACCATCGAAGAAAACGCTGGCGCTACGGAGAACTTCGTCGAACTCGGATTTGCTAGCGGCCTGGGCCTGGAACTTCCGGACACTATCAACAACCGGCATAAAGATTTCAGGTACTACGAGGCCGCCAATCTCCCATCTGTCCATGAGAGAGAGACAAATCCTGTATGGACGGGCTCGCTCAGCGCTGTTACCACGAGATGCACCTTTAATCATTTGGAGAAGCGCTCTGGTGAGAGGCTGCAGGCCAAAGTCCTCGAAGTAGGTCGTTCGCGAGGACAGGTAGGCTTGGTTTTGCTCATTGTGGTCGCCATCTTGACCGGTCGGCTCAGGCCCTAAAAGCCATGCCCAAAGGCGACGATTTAAGCTCATATCTCGTCTGATGACTACACCAACTGCTGCTTTCACAAGCAGCTCTAGATCCGCCGGCTTTACCCGAGACTGGAGGACGTCCGAATTGAGAGGCAAATGCGATACGAGAAGATCGAGAAAGCCGCGTTGAATTAACAGCTGCTCGTCACCTAAGCCGCTTGCGAAGCATCGTACTAGTAAGCCCGGCTCGGGTGACGTTACGATAGCGTGCAGGCTCTTCGTGATTTCTTCCTGCCCAGCTCCAGCGGAGGCAGTCGGGCCAAGCTTAGGTAAATAGCGCACAAGATAAGCTAAAGCCCCAAATCTGCGGCTATGGCTAGTTATGGCCGCTAGGAAGAAACACTGCCAGAAGAAATCATCCCCAGAGGCATGGTGCGCTCCCAGCTTCACACTCTCCAGAGGCCGTATGGCTTCCTTGAACCGTGCCACCAGATGCAATGTTCTATCAAAGTCCTCACTTGTTTCCTCCTCCAGTCCAGGAAGCAAGGCAAGTATAATAGATTTCATGGCTGGCCGGAGCGATCTGGGGTCGAGGTCAAGGAAGTGGGTTTCCAAGAGGTCTAGGTACGGCGATCGGACAGACAGCGAGGCGAATGACAGTGTAGGCGCAAGGCCCGGGAGATATAGGGGCAGGTCCCGAGACAGGCCATCCGTCCCTATCGTGGTGAATATATAGCTGTACAGCTCAAGGGCTTTTTGGTGTACGCCCGATGGCAGAGCGGGATTGAGGCATTGCGAAAGACGTTTGGCAACGAGCGCCTTGGTTGGAATAGAGTGAATCGATGGTGGCCGAGCTTGAAGCGACTAGTCACAGCCACGTTAGAAAATATGATGCTATTTGGAGCTCTTAGACGAGATGGCGCAAAGCATACCTTGAGCAGCTTGTTCAAAAAGGAAATGTAGTCTGCCCACTCCTCAAGGGCGGTTTCAAATAGCGAAAGTGTCTTCTCGACACCAGCGGCATATCTGCGATAAGCTTTGTCCCTGCTCGGGGTCTCCTCTACTCCCACGCATTAGCATTAATTCGGCATTACAAGAGTGCTGCCTAGTGGCGAACCTCCTCCAAGTTGATTTCTCCATTGACGCGGTATGGGAGAATCCCGGCCGGAACTCTCAGGCGAGCCCGCAATGGCGCCGGATCCCGGATCAAGCGCCATGGTCGTGAAGCAGTCGGATCATATGGTATCCTGAGGGCATCGCTTGTCGAACGTCTCGTCCGAAGGATCGTACAGCCGTCAAGGGAGGGTGACGTGGGGTGGATTCGCGACCATCCATCTTTCGAGTCGAACACGCATCAGTTGACTGACATGAGGCTACGTTTCACAAGCCACCACTTTCCAAAAGAGTGGTTGAAGCGCAGGGGTTGTGAGGCTGAAACGTCTCTGATTGGTTTTCTTGCTAACCGGCGCGCCTTTGGTCGAAGCCACACGGTTGACCTTTGGCGCAAGGCCACCACCTCGAGCCACGAGCCAGCTGCTGCTACAAGACATGTCAAGTCAAGACGTCACTGCCCCTCCAAACAGACGTGACCTCACATGTGCATTTATGTCGAGTTCATCCACACCTTCGACCTCGACCCCGTCCTCATCCTCACTGTCGTCGGCTTGCAAAGCCCCAAAACCATGTCCTGGCCCATTTGACAGTTTACCAACATTTGTCGGGCGCTTTAGTTGCAGTTGTAATGCAAACCGCGTCGACATCACCCAACCCGCCCCTGACCTCCATTTTGAGATGCGACAACCACCATCCGCAGCAGTATCATGGGCAGAGAGACTAAACCTCCCACCGAAGAGGAGGAACAGCCTCCCCCGTTGCCCCCTCGCAAATCTGTAGCTACCACTGCGGAATCGAGATGCTTGCAGGCTCAGCCTACCACAGCGTTGACATCTGTGGACATCCAGACGCTTTCCTTTCCAGACGGATCCCGGGGAACATTTTCAACACCCGGCAACAGATCAGTGTCGACCCCCGTGAGCAGTGGTTATGATTCCCCAGGATACAAAGTCAGCCTATCTGGTGGGGAAGGGCCTGATGACGCTGCAAGCATGATGAGCTTTGCCCCGACCATGCGACCAGCTGGAGACATCGCAAGCTTGATGGTTTCCGACTTCCATAAGCGCAGTCCAGCGTGGAATTTGCTCCAAGCCCAGTCTGCCACAGTCCAGCCATTCCAACGACATCGTTCAGGGGCTCGGGATGGACTTGCCGGTTTCGAGGATGAATTCCAGCCTATTCCATCCCAAGAGGACGAGAGTGTCAACGATGAGGAGCGAATTTCAATGTGGAAGTCAAAACTCAAGCATTACATGATACTGTCATCTGCCGGAAAACCTATTTGGAGCCGTCACGGAGACCTCGACCTCATCAACTCGTCCATCGGAGTAATTCAGACAATCATATCATTCTACGAAGGAGCCAAGAACCCTTTGCAAGGCTTCACAGCGGGCAGCACCAGATTCGTGGTATTAACCCAAGGCCCTCTTCATCTCGTGGCTATAAGCAAGCTCGGCGAGAGTGATGCGCAACTCCGGTCCCAGCTCGAGGCGTTGTACATGCAGATTCTGTCCACGCTGACACTACCCACGCTACAGAATATATTCGTCAACCGACCATCGTCCGACTTGCGCAAGCCTCTCCAGGGCACGGAGTCCTTACTATCTTCCTTGGCAGACTCATTCACCCTTGGCTCTGCATCGACCCTCCTAGGCTCATTAGAGTGTTTGAAGCTGCGCAAGTCTGAGCGCCACGCCATCAACAATACCTTTTTGAAGCTGCGAACCGATAAGCTGCTCTACGGGCTCATTGTCGCTGGCGGGAAGCTCGTGAGCGTCGTCCGGCCGCGGCGGCATTCTCTCCACCCCAGCGACCTGCGGCTCATCTTCAACATGCTCTTCGAATCAGACGGCATCAAAGGGGCCGGCGGCGAGAACTGGATCCCCATCTGTCTACCTGCATTCAACAACAAGGGCTATTTGTACATGTACGTCAGCTTCTTCGAAGACTCGCCAGAAGTCCAACCGCCAGGCAGTCCAACAATTGCGCAGACGTCCAGCGAAGAGATAGCCATGATCCTCATAAGCGCAGACAAGGAGAGTTTCTACAGCCTCAAGCAAATGCGCGATGACGTTGCGCAGGCCTTGGCGAAAAGCGGCGGCCTAGCCACCATTCGCAGGGCAGTGCGTGCCGGCCGACCTGCCGTGTCGCAAGTTGCGCCCGGAAGCCAAGTCAGCCACTTCTTGTACAAATCTCGGGCAAACGTGCAGTTTTGCATGTCGTCTCTACACCCTTTGTTCGCCCGTGTCGTCGAGAGACGAAGGCTACTGTCGCTTTACCACGAGCTACATGCCTCTGTGCACGCTAAACACGCGCATCTCAAGGTTTTGCACTGCTCGAGCCAGGAGGCGACTTGTCTAGCGTGGATCACGCCCGTCTTTGAATTTTATTGCGTCGGGGGACCAAACTTGTCTCGCGCGGCCATGACTCAGGGCGCGAATAAGATTATTCAGTGGGCCAAGAGGGAAGAACAGAGGATATTCATCATTGGCGGAGGTGTATTCTAGCCAAGAGTGCAGTTTATCTTTTTTTATTAGCCCGACATGGAACAAATACTGTGCATCATTAAATAAGCGGCTGTGTCGCCGTAGTAGATAGGTATTTAAGATTATATACACGGTAAATCGTCCATCAAACGCCTTTTAGTGAAAAGGGGAACATGGCTGTGTCCCTCATGGATGTCCTCCCTTCCTTTTTTCTCTCTTCAGTTGCGAACTGCCTCAAGGGAGGTCACAAATTCTAAAGACATGAATAGTCGTGGGTATAGCGCTCATAATACGTCGTGAATTTTTTTTTTCGGGACAAGAGCATGGCCGCGGTGTCGTCTGCTTTTCGGTGTTTTTTTTTTTATACGTGTATTTGTAACAGGTCATGATGGCGGCGAGGATTCGCCGTCGTCCGAGCGCCTAAGCGCCAAGAACGACTTCCGAGCCCATTCTTTTAGTCTGTCGTTCACGCCGGAGCTCAAGCTGCTCGCGCTTCGACTAGAGTTCGCGGATGACCAGCTATCTTCGCGTGATTGCGTGGGGCGGGGCGAGTGAGCCGGCTTAGTGATTGAGAGGTCGCTGGGGTGCTGAGAGAGCGGCGACTTGTCGCTCTCGGTGGCGAGTGTCATTGTTGATGCGTTTAGGAGGGCCTCTGAGAAGGGCGCATCAAAATCTTCGCGGAAGCGAGGGCTGCGCAGTGTGCTTCGGGATCGCTTGGCCTCGAGATCGGGGTTGGCTGCCGGCATGGTTGTGGTGAGGTGCAGCGCGGGTTTGGATGCCATTTGTCTTATTCGCAATCGGTGCTTGAAGTGGAGATGATTTTCTTCGGGTAGAAAGATTTGAGCTTTGCAAGTAATGCGCAATGCGTACTAACTGGCCAGGATACTCCGTATTACCCGAGTGAAAGAAGTGTAGAATGTGGCTAGAGGTTTGAACAAGAGGGGAGATGGATGGAGGAAAGGAGGAAGACGGTTGGAATATTACAATGGGCTATCGGTTACCACAATCGAGGGCTTGAGTCAAAGAACAGCGGGGAAAAGCCGTTGAGAAGCAGGGGAAATAGAGAAGGTGCACACCAAACCAAGAGCGGCTTGCTGGCACATGTCATGTCACTGGTCGACTCGGTGTTCAATGGAGCAGGCGAAAGTGAAGTGACCAAACATTGAATTTCGGTGACGGATTGTCAAAGGGATTGACAGGGTGACAGGGCGACGGGGCGACGGGGGGTCATGGGGGCCACGGGGGCCATGAGAGGGGTCATGGGGTGACAGGGTGACAAGCAACAGGACATCTGGACCCTGTTGTGTCCAGTCTGGTCCCTTCAATATGAGGACAGCCGAAATGCTTACCTCCATTGTACCGAGTACCCACGACATTCCCCTGACTAGAAGACTGGAAAGGCACCAAGCTTCTTCCAACATGTGGGCGGCTAGGACGAGGTGGATCTGCAACCCTCCGAGCAGCCAAACGCAAGCCCGGTTGTAAGTTATTGGGTCTCCCTATGAGGCGCTTGAGTTCCACTCCGTCTCCATAACAGGGGACAATCATAAGACACAAAAAAAATGCACAAATGAGGAACTAAGCTGTGCCTATTGAGAGGTACGCCCATCCCCCCAGAAGCCGGCCACATTCTGGGCTTCGCAAAGGAAAGGACAGGCCCAGTAACAAAGTGCACACAAACTAGACATGAAGCGAACTGGCTGGCATCCAGGAGCTTTAAAGAGAGGCACATTATGTGCACCGAGTACATGAACTCGCCCGACTGGCTGGCCGACGATCACTCTAGCCATGGACAGGGATGATGCATCGGAACAATAGTAGGAGACATGTTTCGCCAGTCTCCGTCCCGTCGTGTGGGCCAAGGTTAGTTTCTTCATGATTGTACCGAGTATTCAACAGTAATCCGTACAGACTAATGGCATAAGATAGGTAATATTACTTACTATAGACTAGGCTAGGGCGAGTTGTCACTTTGAAGATGATGCGGCCGGAAACCGCAGGGCAAAACTCCGGGTGTAATTAAACTAAGCGAACATGTTTTTTTGTTTTCTTTTCTTTTGCCTCAAGACGACAGACAGCAGCATGAGACATGTCAATTTCTATCCGTTTGTTTTGGGTATTTTTTCTGCTTTGAGCAGAACAGCGTGTGAGCTAATCAGGACGCTCAAATCCATGTGTTGAAGCTCCAAAGCCCAGATGCCCGTTGACATATCATTTGGGTCCGGTTTGTGAGAGGCGAAGCACAGACCAGTGTTCGGTAAGTTGGAGTTCGTTTCGCCCACTCACTTGCGGATGCCTGGCATGACGGGTAGGTTCTGTTATTAGTCAGTACTAGTGTGCCTTTGACGCTATTACGTGCGGAGTGTTGTGGGTGCTGGTCGCCCTAGTGAGACCCAGGCCTTACACCTGGGTAGCAGATCCAAGATCACTGGGGGGATTGCTGTCACGCTGGGGACATGGAAAATTGCTGGTTGTCTCGACTCTCGACCACCTCCCTGTGTTGAGTCAGATGACCTCGGCAAGGGCCTAACTCGTAATATGAATCAGTTACGGCGCTCGCTTTGTCGTCCACAATGCATAGAAGACCGGTGAGCAATTCATTGATTGCGTCCGCGACA